ATATATATATATATATATATATATTTCTCTTGTGTTTTTTTTTTTTAAAGCTTTGTAAATTGAGCCTAAAGTATGTAGTGAACTGCTAAATACACAGTTGAAACCCATTTCTGGGAGCTGCTTTACCTGCCAAAAGATTTGTATTTTGCCCCTCCAGCCCTGAAATTTACATAACTCTTGCAGACAATGTATTTAAGTTGGCGACTTGAATCTTTTCTACCGCAGTTAAGAAATACAGCTAGGTCACCTCTGTGCCCCAGCTCGGGCAATGAAGGAGCAGCAGACTACTGAGCTCTCCATTATCCTTCTGTCGGCATGTGCATGCAGCACACTTGATTGACACCTAATGTTTTCTGAGTGCCAAGTCACACCATCAATAGTGTGTACCAGTGCGTTTGGTGCATTGAACTCAATGGCCTCACAGCCACACACCCCGCCCCCAGTGTGATCGTCGACACCTGAATACGTGGCACATTAGTGCCTGTGTTCTGGTCCAGTGTGATCTGCAAAAAGTAGTGCATGCAGCATTTGTTGCAGATCGCACCGGAAAGCAGGCACTAATGTGCCACATGTTCGGGTGCTGACTATCGCATTGTGAGCGAAGGGAAGGGGGGCGGGGGTGCTGCGGTGCCATTGCGTTCAATGCACCTCCATGCCCCCCGCCCCAAAACAAAGTGAGCCTGGCGGGTTTCATTCCAGAGGCCGAACGCACTCTTGATGGTGTGACTGGGCCCTGAGTGCTGCTGTACAGGGGATTACAAAAGGCTGATTCCAAGTCAAATTTTATATTTTGCATTTTAGAATGTGTTTATTTTTTAAGGAATACATAACTACATTTTATTAGTTTTTTTTGTTTTTTGTATCTGCCTAAAGTTCAGCACTCTAAGGTAAGAATATTTTGCAGGGTGTGGGGCTTGCTGCACCTTTCCTCGGTTTAGAGGAGATGGTGCGTGGCTAACACATTGGAACTGAAAGTGACTTTATTTGGGTCGCTTCCACCTGGCACTTCTACTTACAGGGCTGCAATGGATGGCACAGACCCAGCTAAGATGGTGACTGAGGATGCCCAAGGTCAGCCTATTTAGTTATTAGGCAGATATGACTAAATCATAGATTCTGATTGCCTAGATCCTAGAGAGGAGAGAGAGACTGACAGTGAAACGGATTCCACTTCTAAAAAAGGATGGTTCAGACTTCAGCCTGATGACAGCATCAATATGTAAAAAGTCAAAGTTATTAGAGGTACATTAAATTTATCTGATGCAAGACCACAAAGAACAATACAGGATTATGTTCTCTGAACTGCAGCCGGAACAGTCTCATGTTTTTCCTGTTCATGAAACAATGCATTATTTAATTTAAATCACAATGGTGTGACCTGACTAAAAATGATTTGTACTTAAATATAATAAATGCAGATATGCCTTTGACCAAAAAGGATCATTCATTAAATGTACACAGGATTGATTGATCAGTCTCTAACGTTAGTTAACTCGTCCATATCAATTGGATATTGACATATCTGATATTGACTTAAATGTATTTGGGATGCTTCAGTGCCCTTATTTATGCCTAATTTAAGTGCCACCTGTGTAGCAAGATCCCTAGGTATATGGTTAAAGCCTCCAGAAGACCACATTAAAGAGTGTACCCTTAAAGAAGAAATTAAAACATTTCTTATTAAAAAGATTTCTTGGCAGTCACATTAGTATTTTCTACCCAGATGTTTGTTAGAGCTGCAGTGTTGTCAAACATGGCTCTTAGGATGGTGATACTAGTAACTCCATGAGATTGTGTACTGTTCCTTTGAGGGAGATGACTTGTTCAGATCAAGTTTCGATAATGTGTTGGACGTCAGAGAATGTCAGAGAAATGGGAAAGCATGTTCTTCTAAATAACACAGCCCAGATCTAATAATACTAGGAATGCATCGATACCCTTTTTTCCAGAACAAGAGTGCTTGCCGATACCAATTACCGATGCACTTTAAAAAATGTAGACTGATTTTAGTACAGTGGTGGCGCCAGGGTTCGATTGCAGCTGCAACCATGATATTTGCGCCACTGACTCCAAGCTGTAGAGCATTATACAGCAGTGCAGAATGGCAACTGGCTTTAGAGAACTACACATCTGTGGAGGGTCTCGAGGGCAGGTGTTTGCGTCGGAAGTGCTTTAAGCAGCGCCGCATGGTTCCCCAGGAAGGAGGAGATATGTGGGCTGGTGCTGTAAAAGGGTGCCGAGTGGTTCACAGGAAGGCTGCCGAGGTCCCCAGTAAACGCGGGACCTTAAGGCAGCCGCTTCCGTTTAAAAATTTAAAGCGCCGGTGTTGGAGTTTAGTATCAGAGCATTTTCACACGTGCTCGTGACATGCCCAGTATTGGCATCCCTAAATAATACTTTGTTTGTTCAGACAGGCTGGCAGGGAAAGGGGGAAAAGGTTTTCTTTTTAACCCCAACTCTGCAGCAAGGGCAAATAATCCGTGTCCTCCGCAATGAGTCAGAGTCTGCAGTGGGGAGTCATCTGTCTGCATTTGCAGAGAATCTGACCTATTTTTTTTTCCTTTTGAACCTTTTGGATGTTATACATTGTAAAGAGGGATAAAAAATATATTTCTCAAGTACTCAGGTTCAAGATGGCGCCCCAAGAAATCTTAAGTCTCTTTGCACTACGACAGAAAGGACCCTCAATTCTGTTAAGGTAAAAATTGTCTGTCTGTAGGTTGCGGACAACTGTGATTTCAAGGAAATATATAGTCAGGAGAGTGGTCCTGAAAAGTAGCCAAGTGTTCCATTTGATCACGCAACAATTTGGGGTTCCAGAGAGAGAGTTGTTTGCGAACAAGGAAAGCGCTCAGCTTAAAACCTAAGAGATTGGGTGCTCTGAACCGTTTGCTTTGATTTGCGTATACCTCTCTGCAATGGATTCCGAGGGTTCCAATAAAAGTAAGCAATGTAAAAAGCAAGAATCATTCTGGTTGCTCCACATTGGCCCAGAAGGGCTTAGTATTCAATGATCCAGCACCTGTCTGTAGATCATCTCTGACTCAGAGAAGATTTACTACAATGGGATTAGATAAGGTTTTAAAATTAAATACCTTCACAGAAAGCTGCCTTAAGTTTCCATTTTGATGAACCTTTAGCTTCAATTCCAGTGAGAAATGTTGTTGACAGAATGGCTGTCGGTGTAGTTTAAAAGAAGAGCCATCATTTTTATTAAACCTTGCAGTGGGGCTACCACTGCACTGCATGGCTTAACTGCTTGTTTTGGTCTAGGGAGGAAAATTACAAAGCTTGACTCTCCTAATCCTCTGAGCCGGCTTGCTTTTAGACTGGTCCTTCCAGCTTCATTCCCCCTCCTCTGCAGCGGCCTAAGGTCCCGGAGTCATCGCGTTCTATACACACTGTATAGGATATGAGGAAGCTGGAGTGTATGAGGAGAAGGCCAGGAGGGAGTACTGTGACAGCTGGCCGGCTCGGAGGATCAGGTGCATAGAACGGTTTTCCCCCCTAGACCAAAGTAAAGCAGTAAACCCTTGTAGTGCAGGGGTAGCTCCACTGCAAGGGTTAATAAACTTTTTCCCTGGATTTCTTTAAGGTAGCAGACGCTTTGGTATTGAGAATTGCAGCTTACCTCAATTGTGCGTTTCATTTTATTTGTTGCATGGTTTGTAATGAATTCTATGATAACAATCTAATTGATAGTAATGTTATATCATATAATAATTTATTATGATATAACCATTTATAAGAGAAAAACTAAACCCTAATTCTGCATTCCATATTGAAATTCCATGAAGCCATTAAGCAAAAAATGAGAGCAGCAGAAAGTCAGCCAATGCACTGCCTTGCATGATATGTGTTAACTCAAGTAAATGTGACAGTACTCATGTCCTCCCATAGAGGACATTTTATTCTCTCTCCTGCCTAGGGGTCACATTCTTCCTTTCAGCTGGAGACTTGTCTACTATAGATGCTGGGCCTTGGATGTAAAGCATTCTGGACATAGTACACAGAAGGTGCACATGGTCCTAATTTATTGCATGAGGTTTGCTGTGAGTTATATTCTCATTAATGGGAACTTCTGTTATTAGCCATTGCTTTCCAAAACTGCTGTTCATGACCAAGATTTAAAAAAAACAAACTGCAGTTTGTGGAGTGCTGTCAGATATCGGCTTTTAAGCCAGGAGGTGGACAAAGTAAAGTATTATCCTAGAACAAGTCAGTCCAGTCTATTAGCCCTTGTTCACACCTAGGCGTATTGCATATGCGCGTCTGTCACGCGTTTTTTTACAACGATTCGCGGTAAAAAAAAGTTGCGTGACCGTCGCGCGATTCCGAAGGCTACTTGGCTGTATCCCAATGGAAAACGCCCT